TACATTAACATAATAGTGGATAGTATCCCTACATTTACACATTTTTGTTTCGATATGCACTGAAACGTACCATTTGGATTTAGTGACGGCATATGAAATGTACTATTTACATATTCACAAATAATCTTCGTAAACACTTTATATTAGATTTATTTTATCAATATACAGTGCCGTGAAAAGGTTTTTGCTCCCTTACTGTTTTTTTTTTTTTGCATATTTGTCACACTTAAAAGATTCAGATCATCAAACTAATTTTAATATTACACAAAGATAACCCGAGTTGGCCCACTCTTCTTTGCAGAATTGTTTTAATTCAGCCACATTGGCGGGTTTTCGAGCATGAATGGACTGTTTAAGGTCATGCCAATTATGGCAAATCGTCCAGGTCCTGAAGCTAGCAGCCCCAGACCATTATACTACCACCACCACGTTTGACTGTTGGTATGATGTTCTTTTTATGAAATGCTGTGTTGGTTTTACGCCAGATGTAATGGGACACACACCTTTCAAAAAGTTCAACTTTTGTCACATCAGTCTACAGAATATTTGCCCAAAAGTGTAAGATGAGCCTTTGTGTTCTTTTTGGTCAGCAATGGCTTTGCCTTGGAACTCTCCCATGGATGTCGTTTTTGCCCAGTCTCTTCTTATTGTTATTTTGTTGAACCGTATTTTCATGAGATTCGTACTGGAGCGTTTCACCTCCCAAGCACAACTCCATACTGCGTGAGCTACCGAGCAAACCTACTAAACATGAAAACCCATACATATGAAGCTGGATATGTGACACTAACCTTCGAAGGTATCAGTTTTTAAACGTTGCAGCATGTTAAAATTGTTTTGAATTAATAACATAATATTCCTCAAGTAATTGCTTGAAAAAAATCTATGAGAGCAGCACTTTACCTGCAAATATATGATTATTAATGATTTGCCTACACACAAGTCTGGAAGTTTCAGAACTCAAACATTTCAAAGTATCTGACTAATCTCCTTACTGTACATCAATAATTATCTCATTTGTATTTCCCCAAAGACATTGTAGAAAAAATCTCAGAGATAAAGCTGATACTATGAGCTATAAAAGAGCAACCTCTGAGCAATAAAATTATCCTCTGGGAAAGACAGAGAGAGAGCGAGAGAGAGAGCAGTGACACAAAAGAATGAGGTAATGAATGAGGAGAGAAAAAAATAAGAAGATGAATAGGTGAAGGGAATGTGACAGAGAGGGAGAAAGACATTAACCCCGGAAAGAAAAAGCGCAAGAGAGAAAGTGTGTATAGAGGTAGTAATCCCTTCACAGATGGCTTTGTTGCCTGTCTGATGATGGAGCAGTCCATATGATGAACTAATGGAGGGGTGTAGTGTAGAGGATTATCCTCCCACTCTCGCACCCCTGGAAACTGAGGTCAAGTGGTACAATTCCATTTTCAGTCCATTTAATGCCACAATCACAATCTCTCTTTTAACAATGTAACATTTTCCATGAGGTCTTATCTCTTCAAAAAAACACTCTCTTGCACACAAATGGCTAGGAGATGTGGGAGGGCCTTGCACAGTGAAGCACATTTACAAACCCTAAATCCATTCTTTTCACTAACAATGTTTAATCTCGCTCTGCTCTCGGTCCCTAGAAAGGCTCTATAGAAGATCTTTCAGCAAAGGAGAACCAATCAATCACAGATTCGCCAGAAAAAACCTACCGCGACTACAGTAAAACGGTCAAAAGTCTGAAGATCTGATGTAGGCTCTGTGCTCTGCTTGTCAGTTTTCCAAAGTATCTTTTCCTACCCCTAAAATGTTTTAATGTGAAACGCTTAACCCAGTTAAGAAAGCTTTTATCTGTCTCCAATTAGCAGCTGATTCATTAAATATTGAGGGAGCCATGAAGGATTAAATTTTTAATGTTCATTTGAGGCACAGAGTTGTACAACAACTTCCCCCGGAGCGATGCATAGAGACAGTCTGTGCTCACCATTGATTATGCTCATTGAGGGGCCGAAATCCACTCCTCTCCTCCCATGCACCCCTCCATCCCATAGGTGAGCGTGATTTCACCAAGTACAACATGTTCCTGGATCAACATCCAGCGACCCCATCCCATAACCTGTCTGACCCGTTTCAACGTCATTTTTTTCTCTCGACACAGGCTCTATGGAGTTACTAATGGTTTTCTCCAGACATCAGCATACTACATGACTTAACAAGACCTTTGAGTGTTGTCAGGTTAAAGTCAACAACATGAAATCAAAACTGATTTTAATGAATGTTTCTGGTCTTATTGTAAATTATGCATCAATGCACTTTATTCCAAAAATAAAAATAAAAAGATCTTTGTAATCTTTAATAGAAGTGGTATGTTGCTTTTCCTCTTTCTGCTGGCATTACTTAGGCCAGAGTTTTCAAACTGCTTGATCCCAAGAAGCCTAAAATATGATATAGTCCCAAAATATAAAAACAACTTTATATTTTTATATACAAACATGCAATTATACTGTTTGAGAAATTTTTTTTTTTACAAAATTATATATTTTTATATTACTGTACTTTACTCTAACAAAACCCAATGTAAATATATTATCTGTAAAATATTTGCTTTGTATTACAGTTTTTTTCAACTGCTTACACGCGTTTTCAAAACTTTGCCTCTTTTTTCAAAACTTTTCACACAAATCCAAGAATTGCACACACAAAATGCAAAATGAAGCACTGCATTCAAAATATCAAAATTAAAAATCTCAAAAGCAAACATTTGCTGTTAGATTTTTGTGTGTTACATAGACAATTGTGTTGTGTTTTGTAAAAAGTGTTTTATGAAATTGAAAACGGAGTCAAAGGACGAGAATTAGCGTATGGTTTTGCAGATTTGGTGTGTGGTTCTGGTGTTTGAGTGTCAGGTTTCAGAAATTGTGACAAGTACAAATTTTGTGTGTAAGCAGTTGAAAAAAACTGCAAGCTTAAAGGGGTCATACGATGCGATTTCAAGTTTTCCTTTCTCTTTCTTTTTTGCACCCACTAGTCATGTAATGTTAAATGTATAAACCTTGCAGCAAGCATTTTAAATTAATTTCAGAATTATTTCTTAAACACTTTTAAAGATAAATATTGTACTTTTTTGTGTTATAAATATATTTAATTAATATTTTATGTTAACATATTAATTTAAACAACCCCAAAAAAAATTACAACATTTTCCACAGACCCTCTAGCACCCCCTTGCAGCCCTCACAGGGTTCCTGTACCCCAGTTTGAAAACTCTTGACTTGTGGTCTATTAGGTTATATTAACCGATTGCCAGGCAACCTTCAAAGCTTTGTTTCAATAAACTTGCATTCGGTCATGTTTTCCATTTTTGTCATGTCATGATCCAATCAATTCCTGATGGAATACATCATGTCCCAGACTATCATTCAACATTCAATTTCATGCAATCAATATGTAAGATTATGAACACAAATGACACATCAACACATTGCGTAGAATGCTATTCATGAAGCTTTTTTATATTAATTAATATTCTGGCATCTCTGTGTGCATGATGAAATGTTCAATTGTCTTGTGGGCATGTGTGTCAAATGTGTGTGTGTGTGTGTGTGTGTGTGTGAGTCTGAGAGAGTGAAAAGAGAGCGAGATGACCTAAGAGGGATGTGGCTGTCGTGGTGTGAGTAAACACGCTGACCTTTTCAGATATCAGAGGAACATTTATTTCATATGGATGAATGACTTTCTCTATCGCTTTTTATATATGACTTTATCTGCACAAACCCCTCAATTCCTTCTCTCTACTTCATAAGTTGAAACTCTGGCTCAGCATCCATTTAATATTTATTTTCTTCTCTCTTTTAGCCAACCATGTTTATCTTTTCCACCTCAGATCTATTTGTCTTCTCTAATTATATTTCTCTACCATCCGTCTGTCAGAGTGAAGCTCTGAAGTTCTCAGAGGCAGTTTTTTTTTTTTTTTTTTTTCTCAAGGTTGAGAGACTTCCTGATTCAGTCTCTCACCCAAGGTCTACACTCTTCATAACGTGGCTTCTCCTTTCCTCTTGTTCAGAGAGCATCCTCAGCACAGACAAAAATCAAAGGACCTTTGCGTGGGTTTGCAGATTGTGTCACTGTGGGTAAAGCATGAATGCCTTATCTAGGGAGGGCATGCACGCGACCCATAATCGGGAGGCAGCCAGCCGGAAAATGCCCCCCTGTCTCTCTCAGTTGAGTGTGTCTGTCCAAACCGTTAACTAGACTGTGTCCCAGGCCAAAGTCACCCCTGTCCCAACTGGGGTTGAGTTTATATGTACATAGTTCCCACACTTTCCGACCCATTTCCTTGATTTTTTAATTACTTTTCAAAGCTGGATAATGGCTTGATAATGAATTTTAAAAATCGTTTTATAGAAAATATACTTGCAAAAACATCTAGACAAAGAAAAACTTCAGAACATGGAGCACAACTACACTTACATAAAAGTAAAAAAAATAAAATACAAATAAAAAATACTGGAGTATGTTTTACAATAAAATATGATTTCAGTCTTTTTACTTAAAAATTTCAAGTTTAATTCAATGTGTTAACTGGAGTTTCTTTGAAATTAATTGTGAAACTTACTAGCAATTTCTGAGTGAAACTGTTTCTACACCAATATTTTTTTCACTTTACAAAAATTGATATTGACTATAGAAGTCACACTTTTGAATCATATTTTTAGGTTTTCCAGGATCCTTTATGTGGTTTACAAGTAACTTGACTAAAAGAATCAAAATCAAAATGTAATTAGAATCATCTTTCTATTGTACAACATTCTGTTCCAACTAGTTTAATGCTAGGATTACATGCATGAATGCAAATTGACAAATATTACAATTTATTCTAAATTGTATTATTTACACTACCATAGAGATCTGTAATTGGAGGCATTTGACACTTAAAGCCAGTCTTTAGAAGACTGAACTGGTTGAAAAACTTGTATCTGGGTGCATGAGTTTTATATCAACCAACAACATACCTTCTGTTCAAAGAGTTCCAGTAGACTGGCTCCATGTTGGTCGCATCCACTGCTAAACTCTCCATCAGGAAGATTAAGAGGATTCCCAATCCACTGACCCAGTCCGAGAACGTCATAGCCACCCAGGCTCCCCTCGTCTGGACTCCCATGTTCCTCCTACAAGACAAATGAATGGGACCTAATAGAGACAAAAGACTGGTGGAGGGTTGAACTTCACTAGATCCCTCTGCGCTTGAGGAGATGGTGTGACCGCAACATCCACATCTGAAAGACTCTAAGAACAAATCTCTGAATGTTTGTAAAAGAAAGCAGATTCAGAAACATCAACCTCCTTTGTTCCATTCAAAGGAGTCAATGACCTCAACTGAAAGTCCCAAGTAATTGTCAAATTTGAGAAGGCAAAGCCATATGGTCAATGTATGAATCTGATTTGGGATGAATTTCAAACAATATTATGATTGTACATGGGGTGAAGTTAAATGTTTTGAAGCGCACGCAGACTGATGCGGGGCGCCAGGTCCACTGCGGGTGATTTTTTTAGAAATGTTTCTCCATCAACCGCATCATTAGCATTTCTGTCAAGGACTTGGAGTTGTATTTTTACTCCCGTTGAGAAAATTAACATCCACCCGGTAGAAATAATTCAATTTTTCGGTGAACAAAAGTGTTTAAGTTGTGTCGTACTTTCACGCTGGTGAAGAACACGCCTCTGGTGTCCAAAATGAGAGGTCCAGAACTTTTCGCTCATCTAATATCCAAAATATTCACGCAAATATGATGTCCCAGTCCTGAAACAACAGTGAGGATGTCCCCCAGCACTTACTTACCCAATGAATTACAGTCCGACAAGAAACAAAACCCGTTTAGGGCATTGAAAGGAGGTAAGTGGCAGTAATCGGTAAACGTCTACTGCAACAAACGCAAAAATGCTGGGGACAAGAAACGAGATATTCCTGTAGTCCATGGATACAACGCGTGCCGTTCGCTCTCTCCGTTTCTCTGCTGCTCTGCAAAGTCTGGCGCTTTGACTCGCGCGCCGGCAGCATTGTTGCCAGATCCCAGGAGAAACAAGCAACCTAGTCTGATAAAACAAGTCTGACCGAAAAGAAAATTAACATCCACCCGGTAGAAATAATTCAATTTTTCGGTGGACAAAAGTGTTTAAGTTGTGTCGTACTTTCACGCTGGTGAAGAACACGCCTCTGGTGTCCAAAATGAGAGTTCCAGAACTTTTCGCTCATCTAATATCCAAAATATTCACGCAAATATGATGTCCCAGTCCTGAAACAACAGTGAGGATGTCCCCCAGCACTTACTTACCCAATGAATTACAGTCCGACAAGAAACAAAACCCGTTTAGGGCATTGAAAGGAGGTAAGTGGCAGTAATCGGTAAACGTCTACTGCAACAAACGCAAAAATGCTGGGGACAAGAAACGAGATATTCCTGTAGTCCATGGATACAACGCGTGCCGTTCGCTCTCTCCGTTTCTCTGCTGCTCTGCAAAGTCTGGCGCTTTGACTCGCGCGCCGGCAGCATTGTTGCCAGATCCCAGGAGAAACAAGCAACCTAGTCTGATAAAACAAGTCTGACCGAAATTGGCGAGCTATGTTTTTCATTTCTAAAGGTTTAGTAGTTATTTATTAATTATGGGAAAGACACTGTATAACTCCGTAAATTCACTTATCAAGACAGCATATATAGATTAAATACAGTCTGGATAAAAATAGCTAAATTACAGACTTCCACAAGTAGTATTTTATTAAACAATAGACAGTGCATTTAAGTAAAATAGTACATTTATATTTTATATAATAAAAAGCTAGTTTTAGTTGCTTATAATAAGCGGACATGGCAACAACTGTGGTGAGCGCGCGTGTTGGTGACTGTTGGTGAGGAGAGTTTGTGGATGCCGTCTTGAGAAAAGCTACTCTCTGAAGTATTTTTCAATACTGTTGAATTTAAATGTAACTGCAGCTTTAAGGCCAACAAATCAAAAGAACTACTATGAAGTAACCTGCGAGGACGGTAGGGCTCGAATCGACTTCAATTCAGTATTTCCAAGAAACATGGCGTTTCCAACCGCCTCAACTTTATTCAGGTAACGTTAGCTCGAGGCACATCAGAACAAGGTTTGTGTACTTAAACCTCTAAACTAAAATCTGTCAAAAAACAGTACAAAAGAGTGATGCTGGGTTCCTTGGGGAATCAAATGGTGGAGGTTTATGCTGTGTAGACTTAACATGAATTTAGAATGGTTCCTAACGCCGACTGAAAATGACTGAAAGCACGATGATTTTTATCTTTAGTAACGTTAGTTTCATTTGGCATCAAGAAATCAAGCTCTGATTATCCTCGAATATTTTATAATGTAACTTATAAGTTACTCCCTGAGGTTCTGAAGCAGAAGTGTGATTGTACTGCCTCATAGAGGAAAACAGTCGCAAAGCAGGAGTCAAATCTGACTACATTTAAGACAAAACAACGAAGGTCTAAGCCAACAATAATTGTAACAATGACAGAAAACAAATTCAGCATTTATTTTTTTTATTTTCAGTTTAACATATTTTGATCTTCTCAAAGCAAAACCAAGCCCCATGTTCTGTACGTACCCACCTAATCATTTAAAACTAAAAAAATGTCAATGCCGAACTGATAAAGGAAGGCAAGCTACCCTTTTTTTTTTTTACTTTTATAATTTCTTTTTCAGATTTCAGCATATACCAATGCTCATCAACCTTTATCTGTACATGTCAATAATTGCAGTTATTCACTTGAACATTAACATACCAACAATACATAGACAACACCGTGGGAAACATCCCACAGCCTGGTATGATGAGTGAAGTCAACGTAGGGGAAAACATTCTCAGCCAGGCTCAGATTCCTTTAGATGATGTAGATACAGCCGGTGCTGTTTTTCTAATGAGTGTTACATTAATGTTGACCAGGGCAGTTCTATTTTGTACAATTAAGGCATGTGAAACACCCAAGATGATGCCCTAAGATGAACAGAACTCAACAAACAGGGACCAAAATCATTTACATTATTTACAGGACATCCAGTCCCCACCTCACCCACAAGTGAGACAGGAGAATGTACGAGTGTCTTTGTACAGACACATACAAAGTCTCTTCACATGCATGCACACACCTAGTCTGTCTGTGGGTCCCATTCTATGCTGTCAGGACGAAAGCGAGTGGAAGAGAGAAACAGTAGAGAAAGTTGTGGTCTCTTGCTAAATTCGACGACATCAGATGATGCGTACTGGTGGGTGTGATGGTACCAGCAGAGAGATCTAGGTTACGTCCATCCTGGAAGAACTGTAAAACAAAAAACAGATTAAACCACAACGTAAGTAAATTTACAATTTTCAATCTCAGTCTGTCGCATCTCACCTGCTTCACTGCAGTTCAGCTGTTTCACAAGCATCCATGAACTTCATAATGTCAACAATTGCTGTAATACTCTCAATTTTTCATTGTATTGACAGGCAATCATGACAAGTCTGTGTCCTTGAAATTTAGTTCAAGTGAAGTGCGTGAAGAAACGAGGAGAGTTTGCTTCAGTTCATCTCCTCTCCAAACATTCATCACATCTAGACTCCTCAACCCGCAGCAGGTAAGGAAGTTTTTGAAGAAATATGATTGATAGACGTGAGATCTGCAGTTTCTCCGCACCGTAATCTTCTAAAAAGGCATAAAGGTTTTTTTTTTTTTTTAAATCAAACATTCAAAATGACCGTACATGTCTTTTTTTTTCAAATGCTGTAGGAATATCCTTCATTTGATAGTGTTGCAGAGAGCAGTGGGGATTGCAGCTCAAAGGATGCAAAAAACTACATTCCTTTGGTGTGAGGATGAAATGGATCCGCACATATTCCCTGTGTCTCACGCTCTGGGTGTAGCACTAAATGCAGCTGGTTGCCACTCATTTTCGGACTCCAGAATGGCGTTTGAGTTAGTGCCGATATCCACCTCTCCGTGCTTGTTTTCAGTCATTGTCTTTTATTTTTTTTACAAAAATATAATCCAGTCAGAATAGAGTGAAATACGCTTAAAGCAGGATTTTTTTTTCTACAGATCAAGTACCGAAATCTCCTCTGTTCTGATCCTCAGTCTCTTCCGATTCAAATAGATTCTATCCCCCCACCCCAAAAAACAACAACAACAATTTCCTGCTACACACTGCAGATCCTTGGCTCTCAATGGCCCTGCATCAAGAGCGCAAGTAATAAAACGGCAGAACAACAGTTCCATCAAGATGTTGAGACGAACGGAATCTCCGGATGTTGTGAGAAAGTTCCGGAAGAGCACTAGCAGCCGGAGACCGTCAGCTTGATACAGGCCATGCGCATCCCAGAATCTGACCTCTGACAATAGGCATATTCCGAATGTTGAGGCGTGTCCCGTTTCACTCCGAGACACTCAAGCCTTATTGTTAGATGCACTGTTATACATAGTTTGTTTTGAAATACATTCATTCATAATACATCCTCAAGAGGCAAAAAAAAAAAAAAAAAAAATTAAAAAAAAAAAAAATTTTTTTTATGAAATTGCAGAGGTTTTTCTTTCTTTTTTTATCAAGTGAACAGTTGTACAGTTTCATTTTTTCAATCTAACACTCAAAAAAAAAAATACAAGGTAGCAGCCTAGAAAGTGCTCCAACTCAAAGTTCAAATACTTTGTATAGAATAAAAAAAATAAATCATCGTTTTTCAACAGCAACAAAAAAGAAAGTAACAACTGACATACAGAATCACAGTGCCCTTGTGACTGTCTCAAAACACCAGCCAACAGAATACACACACCCACACACTTTCTGGACAGAAGGCAACATTTCACATCGTGGACTGAGAATGAGTGAAAGGTGAAGAGTTGTAATGTAAGTAGTTTGTGTACAGACAACAGAGGAGCTACATTTACACACCAAACACAAAGCCCGATTGCCCTCTTAGAACAGAGCCAAACGGGCCAAACAGCACCTCAATTCATGCTTTTAAACACTGGAGGGTAAAAACGCAATGCTTGACTCTCCTATCGGTCTCTGTAAGAGCCTATGTACAAAAAAGCGCCAACACAATCTACTTCTGTCCATTCACGCACACGCTCAATGAAGTAGAAAATTGTGTTGAACAAAATAAAAGCATGGCATTTGTTTTATACACGTCGGTAAGCAATAAAATTTGTGCAGACTACATCTCTTACGCTTGCACACGCACTCACAAAAAACCTCAACCTATCCTAACATTTTTTTTTGTTTGTTTTTTTGTTAAACAAGTGCAAATCTTCAAGTTTTCAAATTCATATTCTGATAGCTTTACCATGAACATAAAAATACAACAGTGTTTGTCTTTTAGGAGAGATGCTTAACTTATATCTCCCCAACATTTCCAAACCTCCACGTTTGATATGGCGGAAACCGCTCCGTCCCTACCTCTCATATGTATATTCATACAAATATTCTACACATAATATATGCAACAATATATTCACACATTTCTGCATTGTAAAAAAAGAAAGACAGACAACTCCATTTCAAATATGAAAACATTAAAGTGCAATGGTTTAGGTAAGGTGCTTTACTGAAGGGAGGCAGAAGAGGATCTCCTCTTCACACCGAACCTCCCAATAACCTCCTTCTGCTCCTCTCACAGTGCAGTGTGAGAGAAAGAGAGAGAAAGAGAGAGGGGGTGTGGACAAATATCGTCCGCCCCTTCCCTCACTGAGCAGTGCACATTCCTCTGCTGATTTGCTCCAGGTTTAAGGCCTCAGGTAAACTCAAGTAGACGGGCTGGGTCAGTAATCCTCCACCTGCTCCAGCTCACCTCCCCCCAGGAATGAGTAGCCTGCGGAGGTGGGAAACAGGAGAACAGAGGTTGAGAAGTCTGAGGGTTGACTTTCTACAAGAAATTTCCCATCTGGGAATATACTAATGACTAATTCATAAACTTTCCCCCTTGAAGCAGGGCAGAAAATGCTTTTCAATAAGTACATCAGTAAAGAGGTTCTCTTTGCTAGATGAAGATC